CGTAAGCGCCATTGGTGTCGTGAAGATATTCCAGCCAATGAAGACCCAGATCCCGGCTGGACCGGCTTTGTGACCAATCCAGGGAGGGAACAGGGACTTTGAATGGATACTGGAGAGAATGAAATGTCCAGCACTTAAGACAACTGGCTTTTGACTAGAGCATTCGATCTCTGTTAATTTTTAATTTCTGTATGTATGTATTTTATCTTTTACAACAGTGGATGTGGCTCTTAATGAGACATGCCGCATTATCACGGGGTGTCTGCGCCCTACACCACTGGAGAAATTACACTGCTTAGCCGGTATTGCACCACCTGACATCTGCCGGGAAGTAGCAGCCAATAGTGAAAGGACCAAGGCAGAGACATCTCCAGCTCATCCCTGTTTGGGTATCAGCCAGCACGTCAACGACTTAAATCAAGACATAGTTTTCTTAGATCTACAGAGACAATCGCTGGAACACCCCAGCAAGTGAGAGTCCAAAAATGGCAGGCCCAAACCCAGCACCTCAATCCATGGGTGATACCAGATGAGAGACTCCCCCCTGGGCACTCAGAAGACTGGGCGACTTGGAAGGCGCTGAACAGACTGCGCTCTGGCACCACGAGATGCAGAGCCAACCTTCAGAAATGGGGCTACAGGGTGGAATCCTAGGCATGCGAGTGCGGAGAAGAACAAACCACTGACCACCTGCTGCAATGCACCCTGAGCCCTGCCACATGCACCATGGAGGACCTTCTTGCGGCAACCCCAGAGGCACTCCAAGTGGCCAGAGATTGGTCAAAGGGCATTTAACCAAATACCAAATTTGCAAAATCTCTGTGTTTTTTTTCCTTTCCTTTTAATTTGTGTGTTTGTTTTGCTCTGTTAGAATTGTAATACAATGGTTGCTGATGACACGATAAATAAATCTTTTACAACTTAGCTGTAAATTGCCTAGAGCATTCTCGGATGGAGGGCGATTGATAAGTAATTAAATATGATGATGACGATGATGTCTGCTGGAGCTAGGTGTGAATGTTTCAACTGAAACGTCAGGAGAGAATGCCTCCCAATCTCCTACAGTTTTCGTATCTCTGCTGAATTCAGATATTCTCCCTCCAGACTGTTCTATTACTTGATTGATGGATGGATTCATTGGCTCCAAACTACAGGAAAGGAGATTCCATCTGAACATGAGGAAGAACTTCCTGACTGTGAGAGCCGTTCAGCAGTGGAACTCTCTGCCCCGGAGTGTGGTGGAGGCTCCTTCTTTGGAAGCTTTTAAACAGAGGCTGGATGGCCATCTGTCAGGGGTGATTTGAATGCAATATTCCTGCTTCTTGGCAGAATGGGGTTGGACTGGATGGCCCATGAGGTCTCTTCCAACTCTTGGATTCTAGGATTCTATGAGTGCAATTAACACAAGTAAATACATTTAAGATAAATATCATCACAAAAGGACACCCACACTCCTCAAGAGTTTTAATGTTATCTTTATTGTTGTATGAATAAATGTGTAATTATAAACTAAATCTAAACTAAAATTTGGAAATAAATCTTGAAAGCTTAAATGCCAGTTGTTCTTTTGCTCTTGAGGCTCCTCCACCAGTTCATTTTGTGACCACAGTTGGCTTTCTTCTTCCCGTCTTTTGCTGCACTGGTGGAGGCTTTGTCTTCCTTGGGATTCACACTGAGTGTGAGTGTAGGGTGGCACTCCGCTTTTCGAGGTTCGATGCCCTCCGCACGTACAAATTCCCGGTACTTTTCAAATATCCTCAGCCGTTCCTCAAGGTTAAGTTTTTTCTCCAGGGCGGAGGCAATGACGGCTACTTGTTCGTGGATGGGAGCTGGGATGAAGATGGATTCTCGGAGATCTGGCTTGTTTTCCTCCCCACCAAACAAGGGGGGTCCATCCTGTTGCTCTTCCCTTGGACGAAGGGGCACCTCGTCCTCCTCTTTCCCCCCCATCTTTCCTCCTCCGCTTTCACTGCGTGTCCCATCTTCACCGTCTTCGTGTCTGATCAATTCATCTATTTGAGGTTTTGTTTTGAAAAAAATAAGATTTTAACAATAATTAAAATAGTTGAATTTAAACACAAAAAGGAACAAAAAAGCAGAAAAAAAGAAAACAAAAATTAAAAGCAAGAAAACAAAACAGGGTTGTTGTAGGTTTTTTCGGGCTTTATGGCCATGGTCTAGAGGCATTCTCTCCTGACGTTTCGCCTGCATCTATGGCAAGCATCCTCAGAGGTAGTGAGGTCTGTTGGAACTAGGCAAAAGGGTTTATATATCTGTGGAATGACCAGGGTGGGACAAAGGACTCTTGTCTGCTGGAGCTAGGTGTGAATGTTTCAACTGACCACCTTGATTAGCATATAATGGCCTGACAGTGCCATTTGTCTCACCCTGGTCGTTCCACAGATATATAAACCCTTTTTCCTAGTTCCAACACACCTCACTACCTTTGAGGATGCTTGCCATAGATGCAGGAGAAACGTCAGGAGAGAATGCCTCTAGGCATTGTTTTCTTGTATCGTCGGCCTGAATCACTGGGTTGTTGTAGGTTTTTTCGGGCTATATGGCCATGTTCTAGAGGCATTCTCTCCTGACGTTTCGCCTGCATCTATGGCAAGCATCCTCAGAGGTAATGAGGTCTGTTGGAACTAGGAAAAAGGGTTTATATATCTGTGGAAGGACCAGGGTGAGACAAAGGACTCTTGTCTGCTGGAGCTAGGTGTGAATGTTTCAACTGAGCATCTTGATTAGCATATAATGTCCTTACAGTGCCATTTGTCACCTGCGACATCGATGATCCATACTTTGTTTTTTAAAATAATTATTATACATCTGTGGAAGGACCAGGGTGGGACAAAGGACTCTTGTCTGCTGGAGCTAGGTGGGAATGTTTCAACTGACCACCTTGATGAGCATATAACGTCCTGACAGTGCCATTTGTCAGACTACACAGAGAAGCCATTGAAATACACAAGCAAGTGGGCAATTTCAACAGAAAGTAGGAAACCTTAAAAATGAACAAAATCTGGCTACGAGTATTAAAAAAAACTCTAAAATCAAAACAGAAGAGGGAAAACAATCAGGGAAATCTAATCACCTCTCAACAAAAGATTGCTCCAGGCACTGCCAGGCTATCAAATGCTAATCAATGTGGTCTGTTGAAACATTCACACCTAGCTACATCAGACAAGAGTCCTTTGTCCCATCCTGGTCTTTTCACAGATATATAAACCCATTTTCCTAGTTCCAACAGACCTCACTACCTCTGAGGATGCTTGCCATAGATGCAGGCGAAACGTCAGGAGAGAATGCCTCTAGAACATGGCCATATAGCCCGAAAAAACCTACAACAACCCAGTGATTCCGGCCATGAAAGCCTTTGACAATACATAATAAAACTTTATTTATGTCGTGTCTTTGCTGAATCCAGATATTCTCCCTCCAGACTGTTCTATTACTTGATTGATGACATGATGGCAACAGTCCTGGACAGCAGTGGTTCCCAAAGTGACCCATTTAAGGTGGAATCGGGTGTCAAACAGGAATGATGTGTTCTTGCCCCAACCTTATTCTCCATCTTCATCGCTATGATACTTCACCTTGTTGATGGGAAGCTTCCCACCGGAGTAGAAATCATCTCTCGGACAGATGGCAAGCTATTCAACCTCAGCAGACTGAAAGCCAAAACCAAGGTTACAACAACATCTGTTATAGAACTCCAGTATGCTGATGACAACGTCATCTGTGCGCATTCAGAAGAAGATCTACAAGCCACTCTCAACACCTTTGCAGAAGCATACAAGGAGCTCGGCCTGTCATTGAACACTGAGAAAACCAAAGTGCTCTTCCAGCAGACACCAGCCAACCCCTCTTCAATTCCAGTGATACAGTCTAATGGTGTAACATTAGACAATGTTGACCATTTCCACTCCCTTGGCAGCCACCTCTCTACCAAAGTCAACATCGACACTGAAATACAACGCCTGAGCTCTGCGAGTGCAGCATTTTTCCGAATGAAGCAGAGAGTGTTTGAGGACCGGGACATCCGAAGGGAGACCAAGGTGCTTGTTTATAAAGCTATTGTCCCCCCAACCCTGCTATATTTTGTTTATGATACAGTGTAATGGTGTAACATTAGATAATGTTGACCATTTCCGCTACCTTGGCAGCCACCTCTCCACCAAAGTCAACATCGACACCGAAATACAACAGCGCCTGAGCTCTGCGAGTGCAGCATTTTTCCGAATGAAGCAGAGAGTATTTGAGGACCAGGACATCCGTAGGGAGACCAAGGGGCTTGTTTATAAAGCTATTGTCCTCCCAACCCTGCTATACGCCTGCAAAACGTGGACTGTCTATGGACATCACATGCAACTCCTGGAACGATTCCATCAGCGCTGCCTCTGGAAAATCCTGTAAATCTCTTGGGAAGACAGGCGGACAAACATCAGCGTGCTGGAAGAAGCAAAGACCACCAGCATTGAAGCGATGGTCCTCCCATCAACTCTGCTGGACCAGCCGTGTCCAAATGCCCGATCATTGTCTCCCAAAGTAGTTGTTCTACTCTGAACTCAAGAATGGAAAATGGAATGTTGGTGGGCAGGAAAAGAGATTTAAAAATTGGCTCAAAGCCAACCTTAAAAACTCTGGCATAGACACTGAGAACTGGGAAGCCCTGCTGGAGGTCAGCTGTGATCAGCACTGCTGTAGAATTTGAAGAGGCACGAATGGAGGGTGAAAGAGAGAAACGTGCCAAGAGGAAGGCGTGTCAAGCCAACCGACCGGACCGCCTTCCACCTGGAAACCGATGCCCTCACTGCAGGAGAAGATGCAGAGCAAGAAGAGGGCTCCACAGTCACCTACAGACTCACAAGAATTCTGATCTTGGAAGAGTATCCTACTCGGCCGACGAGGGATCGCCTACGTAAATAAATAAGTAAGTAAGTAAGGTGGCGCTACATGCCAGGAAAAATCATTTCCAAGACATGTAGCATGGGCAACCGAGGAGCTAAAACCACTCCGTGCCTAGAAAGGCCAGACTCAAATGACACCTCCAGTCAAGCGAGACGGATGTAATACCCAAGAGGTCAACATACAGATAAGCATACACAGCAAAGAAATAAAGGCCTGACCAGGTGCTTCATCTTTCTCTTCTTGTGCCAGGACCACCTGCGTGTGAGTCTCTGTAAAAAAGAAAAGTGGGACAATAATCAACAGGGATCCGTCAAGGGCTCTTGGCAGAGAGACAGAGTTCCAGTGAGCTTGATTTAAGAGCAGAGAGGTTTCCAGGGCCCTCAAAGGAGGCCTCCTTACCTCTCTCTGAAGCTTGGGTGCCTTCTTGGGTGGAGACTTCATGTCCCTCTGGATCTTTGGGAGGCTTGGAAGGGTGCCTCTCTCCAACGGATTCACAGGACACTCTTTTTCCGGCTGGAGGAGATGCTGGGTGCCCTGCCTCCAAAGTGGTGGTGATGTCTCCCCGGATTTGGCAGGAGAATGCCTTCCCCCTAGCTCGGCTCCACCGGCGTCTGCTCCCTCGCCTTTGCCTTTGCCGGGCACTTGCTTGGTCTCGCTTCTCACTCCTCGCCCTCCGGTAGTTCCTCCCTACGAGATCCTCATAGGAAGACTGAGACTCAAAATGAGGAGGGGGCAGGAGGGCAAGGTCTCGGTGATCGAAATCAGTGTCCTGTTGGGCTTGAAAGGGCTTTCTGTTGCTCCTTCCTGACCTCTTGGAAAACCAAGAAATGGATTCTTTCTTCTCTGCAAAGTTCATCATTGTGCTCTCCGATGTGCTGCCCCGCACGGACATCCAAAGGGCTTCAAGGGATGAAAGCGAATATGGCCGTTGGGAAGGCAGAGAAGACGAAGCTGTTGTCCACTCAACCTTATCCTCAACCTTTGATGCGCTGCCCTGGACTGTGAGCCAAAGGGTTTCAAGAGAGGAAAGGGAATAAGGACGTTTGGAATGCTTTGGTGGCAGAGAAGAGGAAGCAGTACTCCACTCAACCTTGTCCTCAATCTTTGATGCGCTGCCCTGGACTGACACCCAAAGGGCTTCAAGAGACGAAAGAGAATACTGCCGTTTATTTTTTACACCCAGGGAGATGGGTTGCATCCCAGATGAACTGCCGTCATTCTGGGATTGGGATTGGCAGGTTCTCGTGGGATGGAAATTCGAGACACAGTTCTCCTGGGGTTGTCTTGGTTTGGAGGCATTTTTCTCGTCCTCCCAGCTGACTCTTGATCCTCGGCTTCCTCTTTCAGAGCCGGAAGAGAAGCAGGGCTCTTCAGCATCCAGCCAAGCAGGCTCTCTTCCGTCCTGGCCTATTTCATCAAATGCATCTGTCTGGTGGATGCTCTGTTCTCCTGGACCGGAGCTCCATTCCTGGGGTTCGCTGGGTTTGGAGGCATTTTTCTCGTCCTCCCAGCTGACTCTTGATCCTCGGCTTCCTCTTTCAGAGCCGGAAGAGAAGCAGGGCTCTTCAGCATCCAGCCAAGCAGGCTCTCTTCTGTCCTGGCCTATTTCATCAAATGCATCTGTCTGGTAGATGCGCTGTTCTCCTGGACTGGAGCTCCATTCCTTTTCTGCATCTATTGGAAATGAAGTCTCTGACACTGCAGAACCGTGTCCATAATCAGTATCAACACTAGCACAAGCTAGTTCTGCATCATCTTCTTGAGTGGTTGGTGTTTTTGGAGGCTGGAATGCCTTCAGGGACTTCTGAGCCCGTTCTGGGAGACCCCACTTGTGCTCCGCAATCTTACGGCTCAGGTGGGAATTTAGGCATGTTTGTGCTTCAGCGCAAACGAAAGGGAGGCTTGAAGTCGAGATCTTCACATCTCCTCTCTCTGAGAGTGCGCCTTGCACACATTCTGTCCTATGTGTTCTTTCTTCTTGAGAAGAAATGGGGAGAACACACGCAAGGATTGTATCACCTTGGAGGGAAGACCCCATGCATGTTGCATTCTCTTGCGCACAACGTGGAATTCCAGACGGTTCCAGGCTTCTTCCGTGAGGAAAGAGGGCTTCTTCCCAGGACAAGGGAAGGCCACCCCTCCGGGACCACGTTGTGCAGTTGTTCCCGGTGTCCTTTGCCGGGTGGTCTCCTTTTGCTTCGCAGTGGCTCCTTCTCTGGACTGGACAAGGGGCCGGGAATCCCCCTTTCTCTTGGGAGGGGAGGAAATGCCATGCCGTTGGCGGGATTCCTCTTGGAGCTGCCTTCCTTCAGTGTGGGATTTCGGATGAGGAGGTGAATGCATGGCCTCCAACAAGGCCTGAATGTGCTTGGGAAGCACCCACTTGTATTCCATGACCCACTTCTTCACATGCTCTTTCAGGCTCTCCTGCATTTCTGCATTCAAATAAAGTAGGGGGCAAGATGGGATCAGAAAGTCCTCCACTGTTTCTGGCACCTGGACACTCCTCTTTCCCGATGCCACTACGCTCCCGGAAGGAGCTTGTGGTGCTCTTCTAGCTTTGTCGCTTCCTTGCGGTTGGGGAGGAAGTGGGGCAAAAGCACGCAGGGACTGCTGAGCCCGTTTTGGGAGGCCCCACTTGTGCTCCGCAACCTTACGGCTCAGGTGGGCATTCAGGTGCCTTTGTGTATCAGAGCAGAGGAAAGGGAGACTCGGGATCATCACCCGTACATCTTCTTTCTCTTGTGTGTGCGTCTTAGCCACACCTTGTTCTGGGGATTCCTTCTCCTTGAGGAGAAATGGGGAGAACATCTGCAGGGACTGCATCGCCTTGGAAGGAAGACCCCAGGTGTGTTGGATTCGCTTGTGAAGAATGTGGAACTCCAGAAGTTTCCAGGTCTCTGTGCTGAAAAATGGAGTCTTCACCCCAATATTTGAGGACACTCTACTTTCAACATGTCCACAAACAGTCATTGCTGGCTGCCTTTCATGGTGGACTTTCTCTTGCAGTGCTTCTGCACCTTTATCCTGGAAGCCATCCTCAGCCTTCTGCGTGGACTTAGACTGGCAATGAAAGGGAGGCTGTGGCGGATCAATCCCAGATCGAGGAGGAACTCTTAGAGACTGAAACGCCTTGAGGGACTTCTGAACCCGTTCTGGGAGACCCCACTGGTGCTCTGCAATCGTATGCCTCAAGTGGGCACTCAAGTGCTCCTGTGCTTTAGAACTGAGGAAAGGGAGACTCTGAGGCACAATCTCCACTTCTCCTCTCTCTTGTGAGTGTGTCTTGGCCACACTCTGTCCCGTGTATTTCTTCTCCTTGAGAAGACATGGGGAGAAGATACGCATGGACTCCATCACCTTGGAGGGAAGACCCCAGGTGTGTTGGATTCTCTTGTGTACAATGTGGAACTCCAGAAGGTTCCAAGCCTTGTCTGTCAAAAATGGAAACTTCACCCTGGCATTTGAGGAAGCTCTTCCTTCAACATGTCCAGAAGAAGCTCTTGCCGGCTGCCGTTTATGGTGGAGTTTCTCTTGCAGTGCTTCTTCTTGGTGATCTCTACACTGGAAGCCATCCTCAGCCCTCAGGGCGGACTTACACTGGCAATAAAAGGGAGGCTGTGTCGGATCAATCCCAGATCGAGAAGGGGCTCTCGGAGACTGAAACGCCTTCAGGGACTTCTGAGTCCGTTCTGGGAGGCCCCACCTGTGCTCCGCAATCGTATGCCTCAAGTGGGCACTCAAACGCTCTTGTGCGTTAGAGCTGAGGAAAGGGAGACTCTGAGGCACAATCTCCACTTCTCCTCTCTCTTGTGAGTGTGTCTTGGCCACACTCTGTCCTGTGTATTTCTTCTCCTTGAGAAGACATGGGGAGAAGATACGCATGGACTCCATCACCTTGGAGGGAAGACCCCAGGTGTGTTGGATTCTCTTGCGTTGAATGTGGAATTCCAGAAAATCCTGAGCCTTGTCTGTCAAGAAAGGCAGGTTTGCCTCAGGCCTTAAGGAAGCAGGTCCTTTATCACTCACGGGTCTTGTCCTTTCAGGGGAGGCATCTTGCTTCCTCTGTGACCTCCTCTTGGACTTGGCCTTTCTTGGTGTGCGTTCCTGCTCACCTTCTGTTTGGGAATCATCTGTTGCCACTTGGAAAGATTTGGACTTGGGTCTGGAAGGGGGTCTGAGAGGCGTAAACCCCTTGGTTGACCTCTGCATCTGCCTTGGAGTCTCCCATCTGTGTTTTGCAACCGTGAGGAAAGAGGGCTTCTCCAGGGGACAAGGGAAGGTTACCGCTCCAAGGCTGGGTTGAGCAGTTGCTCGTGGCTCCCTTTGCCGGACGGACTCCTTTGGCTTTGCAGTGGCTCCTATCCTGGACTGGTCAAGGGGCTGGGGGAACTGGGATCGAGCAGTGCCCCCTTCATCTCGGGAGAATGAGGCAGGAGGCAGAAAGGCCTTCAGGGAGTCCTGCACTCGTGAAGGAAGGTTCCACCTGTGTGATGCGGTCCGGCTCCTCACATGAGACTCCAGGGTCCTTGTCATCTCATGATCGAAGGGCATGTTCTCAGATGCACTTGTCCTCCATCTTACTTCACCCCAAGGGGATGGGGTGGCTTGGCCCAGTCTCAGAAAAGACCTTTCTGCTTCTGAGGGAGGTGGAGCTGGAGCTAATGCACGAAGAGATTTTTGAACAGTGGCTGGTAAACCCCACTGATGTTGCAGCTTCTTACGCTGGACATGCATTTCCACAAGATCCAGGGCCTTTCTTGGAATGAAAGCTGGTCCTCTCTTAGAGGGCTCAAGTCCTGTTACTCCAGAGATTGTGGAGTTTGCTGTCCCTTCTTTTTGATATACGGATGCCCTGGATGATGCTCTTATTGCTATGGTCCTTCGAGACTGCTCTGGATCTCCTCCAAACATCTCATTCAGGGACTCTATGTATACAGTGGGAAGTCCCCAAAGGGAGGAGAGGTGCTTTCGCTTGATGTTCAGCTGGATCTTCATCAGAGCTTCCTGTTTCACAGAATATATGGAAGACCTTCTGGGTCTTCGTTCTGAAGAAACCAAGGCAGGCTTTGGGAGAGGGCTTTGCCTTGGAGACTCAGGAGATTTCCAAGACTGGAATTCAACATCCAGAGCCTTCTTCTTCAGATGGGTCTCAAGAGGACTTCTCCTCAAGTGGTCATGCACACTACTTTGGCTTTGTAGGGATTTCTTGTTTTCCAGTGACCACCTTCCATGGTCCATCTTCTCTTCTTTGAGACTGGACACTGCCTTCGCCGACTCCTTTCTCTTGACCTGAGGGAGAGAAAGAGGGCAGAAGGCTTTGGCAGATTCGAGGATCCTCTGGGGTAGACCCCACTGGTGCTGCAGCTTCATTTTCTGGAGGTGGACCTCCAGGTGGTGGGAGACCCTCTTTGGAAGGAAAAGCAGCTCCTGTGACACCACAGAGATCTGAGTCAAAGATTTAGGACCCTGAGGCAATGAGGGGGTTTCCTCCATAAAGCCCCGGAGGGATCTCTGCACAAGGGACGGAAGCCCCCACTCGTGCTGGACCCTCTTCTTCCTCACATGCTGTTCTAGAATCTCCTTGGAGGTCCTCTGGAGGAAGGGCAATTCTCTGCCAACGAATTCAAGGAGGACTCCTCTTGTCCGGAGTGGAGCCGAGGGCATCCTGGGTGCCTCCATCCCAGCAATGGCCTGGACATACTTTGTCCCCAGTCCCCAGAGGGAAGCCAGGCGTCTGCCCCGTACATTCAATTCAATCCGGCCCATTTCCTGTAGGCCGAACAAGCGGGAGGGGATACTGGGTTCCAGTGGCCTAACCCCAGGACGGATGGGCTTTGGAAGAGGCCTCCTCAGGGCCCACAAGGAGCATTGCCAGGAGATGGTGAAGATGAGCGGGAAAGATCCCAGCTGGATTTCCAGAGACTTCTTTGTCAAGTGGCCCCTCAGGGTCACCACGACTGCATCCCTGGGTCTGTGGCAGTACCACGTCTGATGCAAGGCTGCCTCCCCATCTATCTTGGGGTTCCTTTTGTCTTGTTTGGCACCTATGGCACCTAAAGCCCAAGGCTGTGGAGGAATGCCACCAAAGCCAGGCTCCCAATGTGTCTCCCTCCTCCTCCCTTCAAGGAAGGTGTGTCTTCCAGTTTCTGGGAACAGCAGCCGGAGTGAATTGAGGACCCTTGTGGGCAACCCCCACTGCTGATGGAT